TTTTACTACAAATTTACTATGGTAGCGTTAAACTTCACACTTTTTTAAGCGTGTCCTTCCCCAACCTAACAACTACGTTTGACGTTCCAAATCAGCTGCCTTTGTATTTATATACTGCTATTAGCAGCTTAATCAACGCTGCATGGCATTGTTGACGGAAATGACGCAACACAAGCGTAACTAGTCGCAACTTCGAATACTAAAAATAAAAACATACAAAAACGGATTGTAGCGTTTTAGGATTATACAAAACATACTAGCTAAACTTAGTCTATTTATGGAATTACATGTACTTTGATTTCCCAATGAAATGTTACAAGAATATGTTTGAAGGAGTACAAAACGTACCTTCTACTTTGCTGCCATCTAGTGGTCACAAATAAGTTTTGACACAATTATTTTTCGAAAAAAAAAAAAGATTTCTAAAGTTTTTACATATTTGTTGACCAATACTACAGAATCACTTTAAAAGTTATCACTGAAATAAAAACAAAATCCATCTTCTTATACGATTAATTAGTATTATCTTATTCGATGACTGTTTACGATGTCCAATTATTTCAATGAAAAAAAAAAATGTTACTATTGTTTGGTGAAATATAATTGCTAACACGTACGACATAAACTGCGCGTATACCCTTTGTATACAATAACTTGTTTCTTCCTGACAATGTAAATATTTCAAAATTACTTTCATTTTTTGCTTAAATTAACATATATTTTAAAAGTAAAGAAGGTCATAAAATTGACAAAAATTCCCATTACAAATTAGGTTGCCCTGTTAAAAATAAATGTTCCTATACAGAAATGTTTTATAGGAGTATATTGAAACGATTTCTACACAATAGTTCAATACTATTGTCACCTACAAGCAGGTCACATAACACGCAGTTTTATGCAGATATATCGTACTATCCAATATGATTCATAAAAACGTACACCTAGAGCACCGTAAAAGTATCTATATGACTTACCCTTCATTCAGAATATTATATCTCTGTAAATGAATTGGCCAATTATGAAAACGTTATTTTCTACTTAGGTTTGGTCCAATTCCTCCAATGCTTTGAAAAATCAGACACTATGTTTCCACTTAAAATTAATCCTGTCTTAAATTAGTTTGTTCTATTTTAAGCAGAAAGTTACACAACAGCCTGATTATCAAACCCAGCTCTTTAGCAAAATAACTGCCAAGCCAACAGATCTTAGATCAGAAAAGACTGAAAAATCTTTCTCCATATTGTAACTTTAGTTAAAGACCACTTTTTTTTGTCTGGCACATGTTCAGAGGATCCGATGTTATTGTTCTTTTCTCTTTTAACGTCCCTACCCATTTATACCACCATTCCTAAAATTAAAGTTTTCGTTAATACCAGAACTGACAACATTATTTAAAAAATCCAAATAACTATTAACAAGCTTTTCTTATTTATTTTATATATTTTTACCTTGATAAGATTTTGCGTACTAATCTACTAGTTATGCATGTTTTACACAGTTTTATTACCGCCAGTTATGAAAACACAGTTACAAATAAGAAATACATACACATCACAAGAAAATAATTTGGAAGAAATCTAGTCTGTAAACAAAGTGTCCATTTTAGATTGTATCTTGATTTTACTGTCTTCTGTTGACTGAAGAACATTAATAAACCCAGCGTCTTCAATAACCTATAAGTAAAGAAACAGTACCAACATAAGACAAAAAATGTAACACAAGCACAAAAAAATGGAAATTTCTAAGCATCCTTTTGCCAATTTTTTCAAGAAATAAAATCTAGAAAGTACCCACTCTTGAGAGAGGTTTAAACTACATACAAAGCAAAGCAAGCTTAAATTAAGTAACATTTACACTTTTAATTTAACATAATACAAAATGTGTTATTTTGTAAAACATTTTCAATTATGATCAAGTACAAGAAAATATTAATAACATTTTTAAAATCCTCAGGTTCACATCTCCTCACAGTTTTGGTCTTATAGCATAAACACACTGTGATTTCTTCATATTTGTTGTAACTTGTTTAGACAATCCACATTAATAAAAAACAAACACAAGCTAAGTTAGTAAATAACCCTAATGTGTAGATTTATAGGCCTAATCTAAGGAAACTTAGACATTATTAAAACCCAAAATGAGATGGGAAATACAATCCTCTAAAAATTGTATTAAATGTTTAAATAACAAAGGTAAACATATTCGTTATAAAAAGAAAAGGGTAGCCACAAGTAAAAAACCAGGTTGGCTGACAAAGAGTTTAAGAGATAAAATTAAAGAAAAGCATCATAACTTTAAGATATTTAAAATAGACTGGTATGACGGGAGATTTAGAAGATCAAGAAAGTTGGTGAAACAGGAAATTAAAACATCAAAAATGATGTACGAGTAAAAGCTGGATGAAAATGTAAAAATTAATAGTAAGGATTTCTTTAGATATATTAAGGGTAAACTAACTGTTAGAATGGGGGTAGGACCCTCGAGGGATGATAAAGGAAGGCTAGTATCTGACGATTATGAGATGGCTGGGTTATTAAATTTTGCTCCTAGATTTTTACTAACAAAGATTTAAGCAGTATACCACATCTTGAACAGTTGATAGATGGAAACAAGATGACTGCATTAATTCTGAGCTTGTTAAGAAAAAATTGGGTAGTTTAAAAAACGATAAGGCTCCTGGGCCAGATAACATTTCCCCAAGGGTTTTGAAGGAGGTTAAAGACTGGATATGTGAGCCACTTGCTACTATTTTTTGTAAATCCTTGAATAATGGGTAGATATCAGAGGATTGAAGTTAGCTAACACAACTCCTCTTTTCAAGGAAGATGATAAAAATTGTCCCATTAGTCTTACATCAGTTGTGGGAAAAGTTTTGGAAATTCTGTTAAAAGATGTTTTGCAAAGTCATTTAACCAAGATTAGAATTTTATTGGATAGTAAACATGGCTTCACTAAGGAAAAATGTTGCCTTACAAATCTTTTGACATTCTTTGAAAAGGTTACTGCTTATGTAGATGAGAGTAAGGGTGTAGAATTGGTGTATCTGGATTTTCAGAAAGCATTTGACAAGGTGCCACATAAAAGCCTTGTAAAAAAAGTTATCTCTATAGGTGTGGGGGATAAGTTAGCAAATTGGAGAGAAGAGTGGCTGGATGGAAGAAAGCAGAGGGTTGTTACAAATGGAGTTCAGTCAAACTGGAGTAATGTCACAAGTGGGGTACCTCAGGGGTTAGT